GCCATTACTCTTCAATAAAGTGCTTTTACATGAACAAGAATGAAGACTGAAGTATAATAATATTTCAATGGAATGAAAAATGGAAGTATAGTAATATTTCAATGGTATAAAGTTATCATAGTGTAGAAACGGTGATGCATGTGCTGTAAAAAAAATATATAATACTGCTCATATGAAACATTTATGAACGTTCAAACCTTCAAAGAAAGATGTCAAGTTCATTAAATCAAAAGGTTTCTGCATGTTCCAAACTTCAAAGAGGTGAACCAAGTAAGCCAATTTAAATTACACACCATCAACCTGGAATCAATTATCTCAGCATTGAAGATGTCAATTTCATTGAATTAGAATAGCAATTATCTCAGCATTGAAGATGTCAATTTCATTGAATTAGAATAGGATACATATGAGATTACCACCACATTTTCTTTACCGTTACTTCCTAAACAGTTGACACTTACATTAATTCAAATAGGCTAAGAAAAGATTGTAAACTCTTTGATTTTTTTTGCAAGAGTAGTAATAAAACACCACATTTTGTCCAACATGTGCAATGATTCGTTGTCTAGATAATTTCCAACCAGAATAACAATAAAGCTAAAAGTTGAGGAAAGGAGCAAGATATGTAGCTTTCAATGAAATTTATTACTCATACAATAACTTTAGCTTTTTGATGATCAATTTTCTGTCATTAATGCACTTAAAACTTTTCTCAAGACCTCTGAGGCATTTCATCGAATGTGTGGTGAGCGAAAGCAGCAAATTTCCACTCACGCCTAAATCGACGGTTTCTGTGAGGCCAAAGGGGATAATCGATTCATGAAATAAAAATGTGGTAAATTCAACTGAAGAACTTACCCAGACGGATTTTAAGTGGATTCTGACTTCCAGTTAGATAGATGGTTTTGCATTACCCTATAATCATCCATACAATAAAAACTGAGTTTGAAAATGAGTAAGCATTCTTGGGATTTAATTTTCAGCAAGAAAATCAACTCAAAGAGGAGAAAATTATAACCTTGTATCCAAACCAATCAGAGCGCTCTAAAGCCATAATCACATAGAAGATTTTTCAATGGCAAGAGTTCGTTTCATTCTCGATCAAACTGTTGAGAGGGAAGAAGATTTATGTAAGAACGTGAGTGTTAATGGGGAAAGTGATGGTCGCTTACCTTCATGTAGGTTGTATCGGCAACATATGGTGGGTGGTGGTAACAAACGGCTCCCATAGACTCAAGAGGGACAGGAGATAGACATAGGAGATGCGTTTTGACGACGAGTGATGATATGTATAGGAGTCTAGGGTTTTCAAAGTGTCGAAGGTGTATTTTGAATGCCAAACAGCTGTATTTGACTTAGTCTATGATGATGTCATCAAAAAAATCGGAAAATACATGGTTGAAATGCAATCAATGACTTTGATTTCTTTAGTTTAGAATTAAGGGTTCTCTTTTAATAATATTTAAGATACTTTAATTGATAAAAAGTTTGCTCGTTTTATATGATACGTTTTAGTTCATAATCAGAAGAGTGTAAACTTCTCATCAGTTTCCATTTCCAAGAGTAGTTGCATGACAAGAAATTACCGAGAAGTCCCAACAAAAATTGTATTTTGAATTGTTGTGTGTCTTTCCATATATTGTTTCGGAGAAATCAAATATCCTCTCATATATATTTTTTTTTCTATCCTTTTTTTATATTCATTAATCAAGATAAATGTCAAAATCAAGAGAGAAGATTAATAAAAAAAATACAAAGATTTCATGTCGTATTTTGTATCAGTTGGAAGTAGGTATGAACAAAAGGTAGAATAATATATATATTTTTTTATTGTTTTACGGTTAGAATTTTACAAAAGAAAATTTATGTGGCCACCATTTAATTATCATAGGATATGAACACCGTTGGCAAAGGTAAAATAATTTCGATATTTCGATATTTTTGGAAAACAACTTGATAAAATATATTTCAAGTAGGTGACTTATTTTGTTGAAATTTATTTTCTTATAAATTATCTCATAATACCAGACACAAAGATGGAGTTGTTGGCGCTCAAGACCCACAAGATTGCATGATATAGCGAGACAATAACGTGATCAAATACTTACGACAATGAATACAATAACTCAAACTCCAATATATTTCACCTTTTGAGGAGCAAGATCTAACATGACCATACAATGGATGAGTCTCCTTTAGATGTATATCGACGAGTTTGTCTGAATATAAACCAATCATATGGGCGAGGAGGACGGAGACGAGACGAGACGAGACCGATCAGTTCTATGACACCGATTCTATCTATGATATGAAACTTGGGTACAACACCAATGATAAAGGTTGAACTTTTTGAAATAAGTCGACAATGAAAGTTAAATATCATCTCCAAAATTCATACAATAACTAGTGACAATAATATGTCGCTTTTACCTTTATCAGGTCCGGAAAAAACTTGAATTTGTGCGATCCAAGCTTTTTTTGGGTACTTATTATATGTTGCTTTTTCCTTTACCATGTTCAGAAAAACTTGAATTTCTGCGATCTAAGTTTTTTGACAATCTAGTGGGGATATCAAGAAAATAATGTAGGTGTCGTGGAACTGTGTGCTAGTAGCTAGGGATAAAGGCGACTTAGAGATTTTGGAAGTCTTGATGCGCTAAATTGTTCATCAATTCAAAAGTGGAGATGATGTTTTCTTCATGAACCTTGGTCATTTTGGGTTAGGTTCATAAGATTTGTGGATAGAAATTATATTATAAGTGTTGGAGTGTGGTCGTTAATTGTTGGCTCCATTAACGATCTTTATGACAAAGACATTATTTATCTACGTTGTCAAGAAAGATAAAAGATAATAAAAGTACTAAATATAAAAATTAACTAAAGTGGAACCAATGACTAAATATAAAAATTAACCAACTAAGAAATTCATATCTATTAGGCTGGAGGGAGTGATGTCGCACTCCCTCATGAAACCGCAGTGACACATAGGCGCCACCTCACCTTTACCACAAAAGCGTGGTTTCATACCACACCGCAGGAGTGGTGACACACTTTTGTTTTTTTTGTTTTTTGTTTTTTGTTTTTTTTTTTGCTTTTTTTAATTAAATAAAAACTATATTTTTAATAAAAACCATTCATTTCATTACTTCAAAAATAAAAATAACATTACATTCCATTGCCCAAATAAAAATCCTACAAACTTAAAAAAAACACTAGAAATTTTAAACCTAGAAACTCAAAAAAACATACATTAAACGATTTAAAATAAACACACTACATGAAGTCGTTCTCCAAGAACTCGTTTTCCGGGTCATCATCCGAATCAAAATTGAGGTTAATGTGTTGCATCCCGTAAATGTGTTCCACCAAATTCATACGAAGATTGTGCAATGTTTCATTGCAACGAACTTCTGCTCTCTTTTCAATGTACTCGCCGCCCCCAATTTCTATTGCTTGTGTCGCGGAAATGGTTTCCTCTTCATCATACTCACATATCACTTTTCATCCATTTTCGATAATCATATTATGCAATATTATACATGCATACATGAATTCATGCATTTTTTTCTCGCTGAAAAAAAATTGCTGGTTTTTTCAGTATAAACCAACGTTTTTTTAAAGCTCCAAAAGCCCGCTCGACATCCTTCCTAGCTCTTTCTTGACCTTTCTTGAATTTTTTCCGACGAGTATCATTCGGACACGTAAACGATTTAACAAAAACTGCATACTCAGGATAGATCCTATCAACTAGGTAATAACCACATTTATATGGTGTTCCACGCAATTGGAAAGAAGAATCCGATGCAGATTCGTCGTATATGCTGTTAAATATAAGTGAACGATTAAGAACGTTAATGTCGTTGAGGGATCCAGGAGAACCAAAGAAAGCATGCCAGATCCACTGATCATGTGATGCCACCGCTTCAAGTATGACCGTTGGATGTCCATGATCACCCTCGGGTAAATTGACCATGGTATGAGGCAGGGCAATTTTCTCATACCCAATGTAGACAATCTAAACTCCTAACATTTCAGGAAAGCCATGTACGCTAGCATGATGAGATTGCAATTTCATGATGTCATTGCGTGTAAGCTTACGTAAATATTTTGGATCATAAAACTGAATAATAGTTTTGCAAAAATAGTGTAGACTATCTCGTACGGTCCTAACTGACATCCTAAAACTCTCGTCCAACGCATCAGGAGGGATGTCATATGCTAATTGACGAAGTGCAACTGTATATTTTTGTAAAGGGGTGAAACCGAGTATATCTCTAGCATCGAGCTGTTGCTCGAAAAAATCACACTCCCTCGTTACATCTTCGACTATACGTTCGTACAATGGTTTGAACATTCTGAAGCGCATTCTAAAGTAGTATCCTTGAAAAGTGGCATTTTCTTGAAAATAGTCGTGTATCAGACGTTGGTTTGCATCTTCACGATTTCTAAAAATATATCTCCGTGTTCTCTGTTCAGCACTGTCGGATGCCCTACTGCATGCCGCTTCATACGTTTGTTCCGCAAATTTAGCAGTAGCGACAAACACATCGAACATAATATCAAACTCTTCGGAAGAATCGGACGAAGACATTTTTTTGATTTTTTTGAGAGGTAATGTAGTAGAAAGATAATATATATATATATATATATATATATATATATATATATATATATATGAAAGGTTGAATGGTTTAAATAGATGGTAAAGTTTAAAAGAAAAAAAAATAAAAATTAATAACTCATTTTTTTGACCGTTTGCAACGGTCAAAAGCGCTGCCCAATCACATTCCTCCATTGACCGTTCCCTCCGAAGGCCGCAGGGCACCCTAGGCCACACCAGGACCGGCGGTGTTCGTGCTTATGTGGCAAGTGAAGTGCAGTCCAGGCCGCACCCACTCAGTATAGTCTTAAAAACTCCACACGTTGTATTTCACCAAATAAAACAGACTATACGAGCAGACCATGGTTCATTTAATGTATTTCTGCTTTTGTTAAAAAAAAGTAATAGCAAGAAGCATAACTCTTCATCGACACACCCCCTTTTAGAGCCTGAATTTGATTCTGTTTCTCGTACTTCTTTCAATCGCATTTAATAGAATTCAGCAATCTCTGTGTCTCTAACATCAATGGCGGCTCTTCGATTTCACCATCCACTTCTAACTTATTCTTCTTCTTCTTCAAATTCATCCCCTTTTCTGAAATCTCAGCTTCAGAGAAATCGTTTAGTCAATATACACGCTAATGGGAGTTTCAACAATTTGGTTTCTGCTGCTCACCCCAATGGAGACGTACCCGGTTCGATTTCCAAAACAACATCTTTCTCCCAGGTTTTTAACTTGTATTTTGTTCGTGGGTTAATGTTTTCTTTGATTATATGTTGTGTAATTGTTTAATTTTTGCTGGGTGTAGTTGATTGAGTCGTTGATTGATAGAAAGAACTTGACGGAGGCAGAGGCGGAGGAGTCTCTTGATTTTCTGCTGCAAGATGCCAATGAATCGCTGATAAGTGCTTTTCTTGTTCTTTTGAGAGCCAAGGGTGAAACTTATGAAGAAGTAAGTTCAATATCTTGTTCCCCATTTCAATATAATTGTTTGACTTTGGTGGTCAAATCTACCTTTCGATATCATCTAAAGTTGGTGATGTTATGACGTTAGCAATGAAATGGGTCATATATTTATGTTCTTTTTGAAGATTAAAGCTTTGTTTTTGCTAAAGCTATTTTGTAATTTAACCTAGTTCTCTTCCTAGTTCTTGATTTTCGTCTTCTTTGAAAAAGGTCTTGTCTGGCCATAACAGGTCAACATATTCCCAATTTTGAACTTAGAGAGTTTACCCAAGCGATTGAGAATTCATTGTTCATGGAAGAATATAGATGATATTTGTTGTCCATTTGTGTGTTTTAAATCAATGTGTATCCTATACATCTTCAATTTAACAAAAACAGAAGTTAAAATTACCATTGAACTTGTTTTTTGGGTTGTGTGAGATGATTGGAGAGAGTATGGTTCATCTAGTGGGATGCAATATTTTTGACCATGGTATGATATAAACTGCCATATCAAATGAACTTTGAAATGAGCAATTATGATAAACTTTGATCGATTCCCCTCTTGTAATCATGATTACACAGGTAGTGGGATTAGCAAGAGCCATGTTCAAACACTGTAAAAAGGTAGAAGGGTTAGATAATGCTGTTGACATAGTTGGAACTGGTGGTGATGGTGCAAACACTGTAAATATCTCAACCGGATCATCCATATTAGCAGCTGCCTGTGGAGCAAGAGTTGCAAAGGTGGCATCCTCTTTCAACTTGTAGGCCCCATGTGTTACATACACATAGCATGACATAACAGGTTGTACTGCATTCAACATGCATTGGACTGAGACAGAGACCGATGTCAATAGGACAAAAAGTTTCAATTTTTGTTTTACCCAAAAAGGTGGGACAAGCACTTTCTCTTGATATGTCGCATACTCGCATATGCAAAAGACAAAAATGCCCTTCTCATCCTCATCGTTGAAAATAGCCCTAGAAAGATTGTCGCACCCTAAAATATGGGACTAGGACCCGCTCTCGATCTGTCGTGTGTGTGCAAAAGACGTTAATGCCATTGGCTTGTTTTCAAAAGTTATTTAGCATTGAGGTTATAACGGTCCATTTTATTTCTTGTAGCAAGGGAATAGGTCAAGCTCATCTGCATGTGGAAGTGCTGATGTATTAGAAGAATTGGGTGTTGCCATTGAATTAGGACCTGAGGTTTGTTGAATTGCATGTTTACAGCTCTTCATCTTTCCTTCATGCTTATGGCTTAGAAAACTGAATAAGTTGTAAAGTGATTGAATTTATTGAAAGTTTTTGCTCTAATTTGCTATTGATTGTGTTAGGGTGTCAAAAGGTGTGTGAACAAAGCAGGAATTGGTTTCATGATGTCTCCAATATACCATCCAGCTATGCAAATTGTTAGACCAGTGAGAAAACAACTCAAAGTGAAAACCGTATTCAACATCCTTGGTCCTATGTTAAATCCAGCACGTGTCCCTTTTGCAGTTGTTGGTGTCTACAAGGAAGATTTAGTTGAGTGCCTTCATGATTATGAAAATATTGTCTTTTTATTACATTGAGAATTCTAGCCTTTGTTTACCTATATGTCCCTTTCATGATAAGCTTGCATTCATGTTTGTTTATTATGGTTTTATGTTGTATAGGTTCATAAAATGGCAAAAGCACTTCAACGATTTGGCATGAAAAGAGCACTTGTTGTCCACTCTGAAGGCTTGGATGAAATGAGTCCTCTTGGTAAGATCAGTTATATGTTTTTTTGAGATATTAGCATTATATATCATTATACCTCACACTTTTATAAACAACCAACATACTTTTATAATGGATTGAAATGTTTGAGCCCTTGATGTATTGATCTTTTAATCTTTCTCCAATTGTAGGGCCGGGGCTAGCCCTTGATGTTACCCAAAATTCAATTGAGAAGTTCTCATTTGATCCATGTAAGTCTCTTACCCAAAAGTCAATATGATTTTATGAATTCTATATCTCCAAGGGTTTGATTATCTGATTATTGCAATTTCAAGTTGTAGACAATCAATTCGTGTTTGGGTGAAATGATGTTAATTCTGATTATCCAGAGCCAGATAATAAACTTTTGTTTTAGTGAAGTAGGTCACACATAACAAAAAGACTATATAACCCTTCCTGTGAACCCTAAATTAAAAACCTAAAGAAAACTAATATACTGATATTTGTATGAAGAAAAATAATATTTGGAATCATATGTGACAATTTTTTTAAAAATTTATTGATAAATAATGCGACAAATATAATTATAGTTGATTATAAGTGTTTTTCGTATGTTAAATTTAAATAGTCAACATATAAGAATGCCCACTTTAGTCATTTTTCTACTCTCAAACACTGATTATATAATTATTATTACTTCACTTTCAAAATACTAATCCTATAACTGGAAACTGGAAAGTATAACTTATGCAATAAATGTATATCATATATGGCACATGTCTTGTCACATCCACTTAATGCCAATTGGATGGAGTTGGAATCAAGAACTAATTTTACTATATATATATATATATATATATATATATATATATATATATATATATATATATATATATATATATATATATATGTTTTTTATGAGCAATATTTAGGATGCATGCTTTTAAGTTTTAAGTTTTAACTAACTTGAGATTTGTTTTTTCACAGTGGATTTTGGGATGCCACGTTGCACAGTAGATGACTTGCGTGGTGGTGATTCTAAATACAATGCAGAAAGCCTAAGGCGTGTATTATCAGGAGAAAAAGGATCTATTGCTGATTCATTTGTAAGCCTTTTGAATTGCTAAAGTTCAAACTTTACACATGTTTGTGTTCATGTGATAATAGCTCAGAATTTTACCATGTTTATGTTGATACGTGGATACTGAGATTTGGTGATTCGAAAAGATTACATAAATTGGTATGTTTGCTACATTAAATGGTTACAAAAGGTTTGGTAAAATGGTGAAAGTATATTGCTTTTTTTTGTGACTTGAAAAATTTTAAAAGATAGTATTTGACTTTTTGACTGTCTTTATGTTTAGGCACTCAATGCTGCAGCAGCCCTTTTGGTGAGTGGGTGTGTAGAGAGCCTAGGAGAAGGAGTGGTTATGGCTCGTGAGACTTTAGAATCTGGAAGAGCAATCAAAACTCTTGATTCGTGGATAGAAATCTCTAATAACTCCATTGTAAGTGAATTTCGTTTCTATTTGGGCTAAATGCAAGAAATAACAACCTACTTTTGTTTATTTTTGTATTATAGCATCCGATTTCCCTTTGTATCTTCAATTTTATTTTCTTATTAAGACATTGTACTTTGAATTCTATCCAATTATACTACTTGGATGATGTTGCTATGATTGGGTGGATTTTTCAAAGTGCAATGTTGTAATGGGGAAAAATGTTAGTATGTTGTTGTTTCTTGCATTTAACCTTTTTTTTTTTGCATTGTTTTTGGTTTGGTAATGCATTGATGTTTGATGCATTTGCAGAATATTGAAGTGATGGCTTGAAATTCAGTTGAAAGGCGAGAAGCTGTTGTAGATTCAATGGCATAATTAGTTTTTTGAAGGTTTGCTTTTCTTTCAATTTTGGAGTTTGTAAGGTGGTTTATGCCATTTTCGTGGTGAGCCCATATTCTAAAAGAGCATAGAGGATTTTGTTATTGGTTTTCGGAGGAGATATGTAGTGATATGATATGATACAATGAATTAGTGGTTCATTTTGAAATAATGAGATGGCATTTTCTTCTATTTGTTATAAAAAAAATAGGAATGGAATCATTTTGAAATAATGAAATGTGTTTGGTTTGATAAATTATCTAAAACTTTTCCGGAAAATGAGATTTTTCCGTTTTTCAAAATTACAAGGAACTTGAAAATGAGATTCTCTCTCCGTATCCACAACATATTTTTAAAATCTTGAACATCTTTATAATTTAGTTTATAGATAAATTCAATTTATCTATATGAGTTCAATTTATTTGTAAATTCAATTTCTTGAACCCCTCACGACAAACTTTATAACAATAAATATAATATTATGATTTATATAAAGTAAATTACAAAAATGTTCAAGAATAAAATTCACAATCAACTACAAACATACAATCAAATGTAAAATGCGGAATAGTTAAAGTTTAAGGAAGAATAATACCACATATATTTATAGTGAGTACACTCTATACTGAGAGCTTAATCCACTTAGTCGAGGATGCTCTTTGTCTCCACCGACTTCTTTTCGGTGGCATTGCTAGGGTGGAGTCTAGATGAGTTACATGTTTAGTTAGCATTCGTGGACTTAAAATATGAAAGAATAACAATTTGTACCCCCAAATTGTTTTTTTTTTTTTTTTTTTTTTTGTGAAATCAATAGCTTCGTCTTCTTCAACCACCCCGAATATATGTGGTCTCTATGAATCAGCTTTAAAAGGTGTTAGGGTTAGGTACAATCATAAATATAAGTGTGGTATGTGAACTTCTTGGACTCCAAAGAGCTCATGGCACAAAGTCATAGGTTGTCCTGGTTTCATGGTAAAGCTGCTAGATTTTCTTATTTTCCATTACTAGCTTAAGTTATACGATATAGAAGTGGGAAATCTTCATAAACGTTGTAATTTTCTATTTATGTATGATGAAAAGAAGGACTATAACTCTTTTCTTGGATTGACCTACCGTTGCCCAACAAGTGGTATAAAGACAAGATGTTAAGAATATATAATCCTGTGAATAGTGTTGGCTTGACCTACCATCTATGTGCATTATGTGGATTTATTGGATTAACCCATCGTTTCCAAGATTATACATTTAGAACATCTTGTTTTTATACCCCTTTTTGGGAAATTCTGTTAATCCAAAGGAAAAAAAAAACTTACAGTCCTTCTTTTCATCTTATATAATAGAAAATTACAACATTTATGAAGTCCCACTTTTATATCCTAAAACATAAGCTACAAATGGAAAATAAGAAAATTCAGTAGTTTTACCATGAAATTAGAGTAGCCTATGAATCAGCATCTTGGATTCTTTGGAGTCCAAAAAGTCTAAATACCAGTCTTACCTTTACAATCATACATAACCCATACACTTGGAGTGATTAAAGAAGACCAAACCAATGATTTCAAAAAAACAAATACGGGTTACGAGTTACTACTCTTTCATATTTAAGTCCCCAAATTCCAACTAAGCATACAAATTATCCACCTGGGCTTCACCTTAACAATGTCACCGAAAAGAAATGGGGGTAACCAGATAATTTTCCAAAATCGAATACAATTGCATCTCTTATGGGCTATATTTTTAAAACAATTTAGAGTTTAGTTGTAAATGAGATCAGAATGTATGTACTTTACTGCTGATTCCCTAGCCATATAAGGAGGACGACCGGGTGTCCATCGAGTAACCGGGCAATTACCAAAATTCGAATATAGTTGCAAGTTATTTGGGTTTTATTGTTCAACAAAGAAAAATAAGGACTTAATCCTAATTAACGAATGACACTCATATAAAATGTTGATGAATATAATTTGAGTAAAATGTCAAGAATATAGACAGTTGACATCAAACAGTTCTGCAATGTAGAAACAATAATTTTTTTACATTAATGAAATATATTAATTGTGTTGGATAGTTTTAATATACTTTTAGGTTGTTATATGTTTGTAAGTATTACCAAATTTTAATATTTAGTTTTTTATTGGTTATGTGTTCAATAACCGTGCAAATTTAATGAAATAAATGCAAAATGTGGTATATTCTTTTGGATATGTTGTTGTTATTAAAAGAATAAAGACATACATGAAAAGCTATGTGTCAAAAATTATTTTAATGTATGATCAGCGTTGTGTGTTTAGATGTGCATGAACATCTATGGTTTTATGTTGGATTAAAAACCATGTATAATACTCGATTAGATGCATATATTCCACAAAGTGCACCACATAATAAAATTAATATTTAAAGTGTCATATATATATATGTGATAGTTTTTTTTTGAACCGACAAACGAACATACTCCTAAATACCACCTATGTCTCATAATGAGACTTGAACCCATAACCTCTCATTTGAGAGTGTCACTCCTTACCGCTAGGCCAGAGGCCCTTTGGTTATGTGATAATTACTAAAACAAATTTATACTTTAATAATAATACTTTTGTTAATTTTATTATCAATAGCTTTAAAAAAATATATAATAATAATAATAACAACAACAACAACAACAACAACAACAACAACAACAACAACAAAATACAAAAAACAAAACTGACCATCAAAAAAGGGTGCAACAAGCAATTAAAGGAATATATATATATATATATATATATATATATATATATATATATATATATATATATATATATATATAGAGAGAGAGAGAGAGAGAGAGAGTTAGGTTCAAATGTTTCTCAAATCTATTGTATGCTAGAATGCACCAATAAGAATTTAGTATTAATTATATGTATATTAAATGATATCCATACTTATAATTCATTTTTATGGAAACTAATTAAATTCGTCATTAATGTCAACAATAATATTCTTTAAGAATGAATTCATATCTAGAATAATGAAAGTGTATTCCAGCAGAATGAGAGTGTATTCTAGTAGAATACACTATCGTTCTTCATATTCAATTCAACTTTATTGCATTTTAAGTGAGTGGATTCTAAAACAAAATACGAACTCATATATAAAAACCTAGATACGAATTTATTCTGAAAGAATGTTATCGTTAACATTAATGACGGATTTAATTAGTTTCCATAAAAAGAGAATTATAATTATGGATATCATTTAATATACATATAAATATGGAAATTATTTAATATCTATATTTATTTAATTTACTAAATTCCTATTGGTGCATTCTAGCACACAATAAATGTAAAAAACAAAATAACCTAGTCCTATATATATATATATATATATATATATATATATATATATATATATATATATATATATATATATATATATATATATATATAACCACACGTAACAGGTTTTGGTATATATTTATAATAATAATTGTTACATATTATAAATGCTAATCTCCTATAAATATGGGAAAGATAAAAAATATATATATTTTTGAATATCTTGTGATTATCTAATATCCCCATCAGGCGAATGTGTGGTGGGCAGAGACGTAGCATTGCACGAAATTGTTCAAATTGAGCACGCAAAATACTCTTGGTGAAAATATTTGCCACTTAAACCTTGGTTGAGATGAACTTGATGTAAAGTTTGTCGGAGGCAACAAATTCTCTAACAAAGTGATAATCAAGATCGATGTATTTTGCACGCTTGTGAGACACAAGATTTTGAGTCATAAACAAGACGCTTTTATTATCACATAGAAACGTTGGTCGATCAAGAGGCAAGGCATGAAGTTCCCGTAGAAGACATGTAATCCAGACAATATATGTTGCACTATTAGCCATTGCCTGATACTCGGACTCACAACTCGATCGAGAAATAGTGGGTTGCTTTTTAGCACTCCAAGAGATGTGGTTACCACCAAGAAAAATTGAATAGTCGTAAGTGAAGTGACAAGTTCCTATACAGTGAGCCCAATAAGCATCAGAGTAACCTAAATTGAATTCGAGTGTGGTCGATAATAAATAAGACCAAAGTCTATAGTAACTATAACATAGCGCAGGATGCGTTTGTCTGGCTGAAAGTGAGCATCCGTTGGGGCATGAAGATACTGACTGGCTTGATTAACAACATAAGATAATTTTGGTATTGTGATGGTTAGATACTGGAGAGCTTCTAAAAATGAGCGATAAAGAGTTGGATCAGAAAAAGAAGCTCCACCGGAAGTAAATGTCTCATGAGTAGCTAATGGTGTTGGCACTAGTTTGGAGTCTAACAGATTTGTGCGTGAAAGAACATCATTAGCATATTTTGAATGACTAATAAAATGCCCATCATCAGTGTAGTTCACCTCTAAACCCAAAAAGTAATTTAAGTCGCCAAGGTCTTTAATAGCAAATTCACAATTTAGATGGGTAGTGAAAGAGGTGATTGAAGATTCATCATTGCCAGTGAGAATTAAGTCATCCACATAGAAAAACAAGTACATGATGCAAGAGTCATGAGCAAAGATGAATAAGGAGGTATCTACACGACTACAGGTAAAACCATTGGCAAGCAAGAATGTACTAAAACAGTGAAACCAAGCTCGTGGAGCTTGTTTGATTCTATACAATGCCTTGGATAACTTACAAACATGATTTGGAAATTAAGGATCAGTAACCCTGGGGGGTTGTTGTGACAACCCGAAAATTTTTTGCTTTTAAAATCACAGTCAGTCAACTCAACTGAGTGTCAGACTTATTGGAAATGAGTCCTACTCTGGTTAAAGGTCATTCTAAGGAGTTTTAAGCCAAGTACACTTAAGGAAGGAGTGTTAGAATGTACCTGCTAGAGACACTGTACAACGCTAAAGCCCTAAACTCCGACATGTGGAGTTTACGGCCGTAAACATGGAGTTTACGGCCGTAAACCCAACCCTGGCCGTAAACCCAAGAGTATATATGTGGTCCTTCATCATTTTCAGCCATTTCTCACATTTCCACCTCAAGAACACTCCAATTCTCTCTCAACTATCATCCCGATCTTCACTCGAGATCTTAAAAAACGTAAGTGTTCTTTCCTAGATTTGTTGTTACACTTCATCTCCTAGTCACACTCTTTGATTCCATCCATGAAAAACATTCATTTCATCTAGATCTTCAAATC